CGCGCAGCGCAGCCTCAGCGAGAAGGCGCAGCACGTCCGCGAGCTCAACCTCCTGCGGGAGAAGAACCACCACATCCTGAAGCTGAAGGCCGAGAAGGAGGAGAAGTGCCACATCGAGGGCATCAAGGAAGCCATCCGGAAGAAGGAGCAGAGGATGGAGCAGCTCTCGCAGGAGAAGGAGGCCGCCTCCGCCGCCGCCTCCGAGGGCTTCCCAAAGGCCTCCAGGGCCTGCAGGCGGGACGGCGGGAAAGCGCCTGCCAGTGGCGGCTGCTACGATCGCATGGACGACGGGGAGGCCCCGCTCCGAGGCGGCTACTGAGAACCAGGAGATGATGTGGCGATGCGATGGGATTCCTTTTATAACCCGACTATACGTGTGAGCATTGATTTTAAGAAAATGTATAAAATAGCTGCGATTTCCTCTCGTGAACTAGTCGATTGATTCGCTTGGATAAGCCGAGAAGCTTGGGAATAGAAGTTGGGGGGATGTTACGGACATGGCGTGGCCTTTGTAAGTTGTCTGTTTGAATGGAATGTATTCCCTGAGCTCTCAAGTAATCTTAGAAGCCTATGCATCAGGCCCGTCTTGGAGGAAGCAGAGAAAAAAAAATCTATATACAGTAGGAGAAACACTTCTGTGTCAGGTCGGGCACGGGTGACGTGGGAAATAGCAGTCATAAGAAATCCCCGAGCCCTAACCGGTTTGGCTCAGTGGATAGAGCGTCGGCCTGCGGACTGAAGGGTCCCGGGTTCGATTCCAGTCAAGGGCATGTACCTTGGTTGCGGGCACATCCCCAGTAGGAGGTGTGCAGGAGGCGGCTGATCGATGTTACTCTCTCATCGATGTTTCTAACTCTCTATCCCTCTCCCTTCCTCTCTGTAAAAAATCAATAAAATATATTTTAAAAAAAAAGAAGTCCCCGAGGGAGGATTCAGATGCATGTAGCAGAGTTGGGAGCCCTGGTACTGCACCCCCTTATAGTTTATAATGCACATGAACATGTTAAAGGCTCTGAAAAGGCCTGCAGTAAAGAGACTCATTTAAGCTAGTGTGTTTTTTACAATTCCTGGAACCTTTTTCTTTTTTTCTTCTCTAATCCTTCCATGGAGTTGGTGTTCTGTGAAATGTTTTTGGAAACAGCTATCTATAGCTCCTCCCGGATTATGAGCTGCTTTGGTCTGCCTTGGACAGAAAAACGTTGGCAATTCCTTTAGCACTCCTGCCTGGTGGCTCTTTCACAGCCCCGTGATCTGAGAGCTCCCTGCAATCTTCTGTTCTGATTTTTTTTCCCCTTTTGGTCAGTTCTATCCAGTCTTTTGGGAAAAAAAAATCTATTGGAGTTCTTCTATTTCCCCCTCTGTTTCTCCTTTGTTTCTTTTGCTGGAGGTATGTGATGTCATTCTATCTCCCACGTGTTGTCTAATTAACCGAGCTCTGAATGAATGACGAAGCATGCAGGATTTGGGACTGTGACATTTTAGACAAGGAGTCAGAGGCCAAGCAGAACTTAACCCATCACATCTCAAAGTCCCTCTCAAAAAATTCTAAAATTTTCTTTTAGAGCCCCTCTTGTAACATTTATCTTTAAAAGAGAGAAATAGGGTAAGCACCAATGGAAGATTTCTGTCATATTAGTATTTTTAAAATATATTTTTACTGATTTCAGAGAGGAAGGGAGAGGGAGAGAGAGCTAGAAACATCAATGATGAGAGAGAATCATCCATTGGCTGCCTCCTGCAGGCCCCCTACTGGGGATGGAGCCAGCAACCCAGGCATGTGCCCTTGACCGGAATCGAACCTGGGACCCTTCAGTCCACAGGCAGATGCTCTATCTACTGAGCCAAACCAGCTAGGGCTATGTTAGAATTTTTAAAATGACACGAAAGGTAACTGGCGAGGGATACTGTTCCAAGGTCAGTATGAGAGCCACATTCTCATATAATGGGACTGGGCCTTCTCCCCTAGTTAGTTTTCTTCCCTTGTCCTAGGTCCCCCCAACCGCTGTCCCCAAAGAGGCTTACTCGGGCCCTCACTACTTTGCTCAAAAATGGAAGGGCTCATACATCTCGCCTCTGTTTCCAATCTTACTCCCTTCTCTTTGCCCAAGTTAATCCTCTGCTCTGGCCAAATGCCCTGGGCCTCCCTGGCATTCTAGGAGAGAGCCTAAGATGTTTCAGGCAGACCGCGATGAATCTAACTCCTCCTCTTGATATGGTTATGTGACTTTGGGGAAGTTACGTTCCTCGCCTTACAGATGAGGCAACCGGTGGGCCTCAGTTGCCTCGTCTGTAAAATGGAAATATAATTCCTATCTCAAAGGGATGCTGTGAAGGGTGATCAAATAACATAACGTAAGGTGTTTGGCGTAGAGCCCAGAACCTAATTACACACCCATCATTCAACTGCGGGTTTTATTATAATGCGGACCTTCTGTTCTTGGCAAATCCATTCTCCCTATCTCGATGCCGCCCATCATATCCGAGTCTGATTTTTCTGAGCTGAGTTCACATTCTGTCTTTCCTGTGCAATGTAGGGCCGCCCTGGCTGTCCCATATTGGCATCACGTTCTTGGTTGCTGTTATGTGTGCCGTATCCATCTTGCAATCCATTTCTTGGCTTCCAAGCTGGACTGTGTGCTACTTGAGGCCAAGGTCATTGCCTTAGAGTTCTTCGTACCCATCCTTAACATGGTGGTCAATATATAGTCAAAGCAAAAGCCTTTAAGCAGGATGACCCCACATCCATACCAGCCCAATGTTGTTTGCTCTTTGCTCCAAGAAATAAACTCCCTACTTTCAGAAAAAGAAGGCCTTAAGACATAAAAGCATTACATAGGTAGGGTCTCTATCTGATAAAATGTTTGATTCGTCTGGAAGATAAAATAATTCTTAAAAAGTCATACATAATATAAAGTAAAATTGATAGAACACACAGAAATCAAACTCATCATCAGAGTGAGAGATGTTTGGGGTATCATTGATGGAACAAAAAATTTGTAAAATTATAAAAATTCAATGAGCAAGTTTGGTTTATTGGTCATGTATAGATTCAATGTAGAATGGAATATTTACAAAAATTGACCAAGAAATAGGCCATAAAAGAAGGGTAAAATTTTTCAAATATCCATTATCATATGGAACAAGCTTTTTTTTTAACCACAATGCAATTAGAACCCTAAAATACATGCTTAGAACTTTAAAATCTCACTTTTTAAGGTAACTTCCCCAAAGTCACTTAACTGTGAGAGAATAGTGTATTATATTCATGTAGGATATGCTTCTAACATCTTTTTGGGTTCAAATAATAAGAAAAATTTCAATATATTTGGAACTAGACAATAATGAAAATATAATACACCAAGGCTTATAGCAATGCAGTGAAGAAGATAATGTAAGAGAATGTAGACTTAAATGCTTATTCATATGAGAAGAAAAGGTGGAAATTAATAAGCTAATCACTCAACTTAAGAAATTAGAAAAAGAACAACAGAATAAATTTAAAGAAAGATAACTATAAAAGCAGACACTAATGAACTAGAGAATAAAGATGTAATGAATATAATTAACTAAACTAAACATTGCTTGTTAGAAAACAGGAATGAAATTGGCAAGCTTCTAGCAGAGTACAAGAAAGAGAGACACGCAAATAATATTGAAAAGAAGGGGCTATAATGAGAGATCCAGCAGAAACTAAAAAGATAAGAGGGTACTATAAAAAACTGTAAGCCAAAGAATGCATAAGGATGCATTAACTTAGAAGAAATGAACACATTCCTTTAAAAATAACCAACTCAAAAAGAATAAGAAGTCCAAATAGTTCATAACCCTTAAAACAAGTGAATCAACTGTTTAACTTTCCTACAAAGAATCACCAGGCCAGATGCTTTTACAGGTAAAGTCTACTGAATGTTCCCGGGACAAATCCTAATCTCATGCAAATCATCTGAGAGAAAAAAGAGAATACTTCCCAACTGATTCTGTCCACAATACCTTTGATACTAAAACTGGAAAAATGTAATAAAGAAAAATCATAGGAAAGCCTCATGCATGAACATAAAGGCGGTAATCCTACACAAATATTAGCAAAATGAATCCTGCACTTTATGAAAAAAGATAACACATCATGACTAAACTGGGTTTATTCCAGGAATATAAGGCTTAACTTCAGAAAATCTGTAATTATCATTCACTACATTAGCATATTAAAAGAACAAAGCAATATGGTAATGTCGCTGGATGAACAAAACACATTTGATGAAATTCAAAATACCTATTTATAATTTTTTAAAAATTGAACCAGCTCAGAATAGAAAGGGATTTTCTTAATATGATAAGGGAAGCCTACCAAAAACCTACACAAACATTATTTTTTAGAGTGAAACAGTGAAGGCTTTTAAAATCAGGAAGATAAAAGAAAAAGAAAGGTGTGGAAAAGAAAAAAAAAACCTCAAAACTCTCATTTTTCACAGATGATATGTTTGTCCCCATAGAGCATTTTATCTACAACCTTAAAAGTTTCTATATTCACAACAGAGGTTTTTTGGGGGGTTTTTTTTTGGTAATAGCCAAGAACCAGAAACAATTCAACACCCATCAATGGTAAAATGGATAAATAAATCGAGCCACAGTCACACAATGGAATTCTATGCAGCAAAGAGCTTACAAATGATCAACAGCCATGCTAACAAACTGGGTGAGTCTCACCCACGTGATGTTGAGGGAATGATCCAGGCACCAAAAAGCACACACTGTGTGATTCCATTTATATAAAGTACAAACACAGACACGAGTAATCTCTGCTGTGGACGGTGGACTCCCTTAGTGGGGGGCTTATGGCGGGGGAGGGGTACGGAAAGGCAGCACGCAGTCATGGGTAAACCATGGGGCGGAGAGTTGATCAATGTTGGGTGTAGACTCTGGCTCTGCCATTCACCAGCTGTCTGCCTAGCCCCAGGGGGCATAACCCCTGGGAGACTCAGTTTCCTCCACTGGAAAATGGGCACAGTGATGGTCCTCGCCTCGCTGGGTTGCTGTGAATGAAGGAGAGAATGCCTGTGAAGTCTGTGGCTCAGAAAGTTCTGGAAAATGAGAGCTATGGTTGTTATCAGTGTTCCTCCTCTTTTTTTTTAAATATATTTTATTGATTTTTTACAGAGAGGAAGGGAGAGGGATAGAGAGTTAGAAACATCGATGAGAGAGAAACATCGATCAGCTGCCTCCTGCACACCACGCCTGCTGGGGCCACGGGCACCGAGGGTCAGGCGGTAATTCTGCAAGGGGAAGCCTGAGATACTAATTCATCTGCTTGCTTGCCCGAGCTTCCCACAAATCTCAGAACCAGCAGAGCAGACCTCTCGCGCTGGCCTTTGTGGCCAGAGCTGCTTGAGCCCCGGGCATTTTGACAGCGGCTGCCTGTGGAA